ATAGACTCCGGAGGGGCTCCTACAGTCCAAGCGTTATCATTAGCCAGATCCAGGCATAAATCAATATAACATGCTGCGGCGTGCAGCCCGATCCCATAACTGTCACTCATAATCAGTCTCTCAGCCTCACTCAGTCATCAATCTCTCCAGTCTCACTCACGGGCTCACAATGTCAAGAAACTAGCCCATCAACAAAGATATGATGTATCGATAAACAACAATTGAGACCGGGATATGGTATGAATGCATGAATATGATTGAGTACGAAATATTAATGAAATCAGTGAATTGACAGTAAGAAACGATTACTATGGGTCCTAACAATATTGGCATAAAGCCTAAACATGATATCTAGCATGATTGACAGCTCAGTTACATAATCACATGGTGAAAACACAGATATCAACAAAATAAGGCCACTAAACAGTGCCATTAAATGATGGAGTCACAATTCACCGGGTGCACGCCCACACGCCTGTCACCTAGCATGTGCGTCACCTCATCATCAATCACATAGCACGTAATTCGAGGTCTCATACCCTCAGCACTAAGTTTAGAAGAGTTACTTACCTCGGACAAGCCATTCCAATACCGAGCAAGCCAAGCGATGCTCCAAGAATGACATCAAGCACGTAGCGACCTCTGAACGGATCAAAAGTAGCCAAAAGCAACTCGAATACATCAAATAAAGCTCAAGGGAACAATTCCAAATGATAAAGATCGAATCCCTAATAAAAATCAAAAACCGGACAAAAAATCACACCTGGACCCGCGCCTCGGAACCCGGCAAAACTCACAAATTCTGATAGTTCATTCAGTTACGAGTCCGACCATACTAGTTTCACTCAATTCCGACTCCAAATTGATGTTCAAAGATCAAAAATTCACATTATGAAACTTTAGGCCAAAACCCCCAATTTTCTCTTTAAAATTCATCAACCAAAGCTAAAATCGAAGATAGATTCATAGAATATAACCAAAACCGATTAGAGAACACTTATCGCAATTCAAATGGTGAAAATTTCTCCAAAAATCGCTTCAATCCGAGCTTGGAAATGTTAAAATGAAGCCAAAATCGCGAACCCTTGTATTTATCATTTTGCCCAGCACTTCCGCTTCTGCGGACACTTAACTGGATCTGCCGTGTCGCATAAGCGACCAAAATTCCGCTTCTGCGTTAAAACACTAAAGCTGGGCCTCCGCTTCTGCCGTCCTTTACTCGTATCTACGCAACCGCAGGTGCGGAACAGCTCATCGCACCTGCGCAAACATCCGCTTTTGCGCCTAACACCCCGCTTCTGCGACCATGCAGGTGTGTGAGAATCATCGCACCTGTGACTACAGTTCACCAGCCCAAACTTCGCTTTTGCGCGCCCCTGCTCGCACCTATGAGCTTGCACCTGCGATCAAAGCTCCACAAGTGCAATTACACCAGCAGAGTTCACCTTCAGCAATCACTCAACTCCATCTTTCAATCCGATAACCGTCCGGAATCAATCTGAGGCCCCCGGGACCTCAATCAAACATACCAACAAGTCCCATAACCTAACACGGACCTATTCAAGGTCTCAAAACATGCATAACAACATCGAAACGATGAATCATACCTCAATTCAAAAATCAATGAACTTGAAACTTCAAACTTCCACAAATCGATGCCGAAACCAATCAAATTACGTCCGATTGACATCAAATTTAGCACACAAGTCACATTTGATATTACAGACCTGTTCCAACTCCCGAAATTGGAATCCGACCCCGATATCAAAAAGTCCATTCCCGGTCAAACTTTTTAAAATTTCAATTTTCGCCATTTCAAGCCAAATTCTACTACGGACCTCCAAATCACAATTCGAACGCGCTCCTAAGACCTAAATTACCCAACGAAGCTAACGGAACCATCAAAATTCCAATCCGAGGTCAAATACTAAAAGGTCAAACTTGGTCAAACCTTTCAAATTTTAAAGCTTCTAGCTGAAAATCATTCTTCCAAATCAGTTCCGAATAAACTGAAAACCAAATCCGACGATTCACATAAGTCATAATACATCATACGGATCTACTCATGCCCATAAACTAGCGAGCGAATTGTAAATGCTCAAAACGACCGATCGGGTCGTTACATATAATGCGATTATATTTAGTTTTTAGTGTAGAGTTGTGATTGAAACCTGAAGAAGATGAAGATCATAATTGTATCACAATTTTTCAGAAGTGTATCGTGATAGTATTGTAAGTTTATATGTACCATAAATGTTGAAGGAAGTGTATTACAAATGTATCATAAATATATATTCATTGTATATTGTTAAGAGCACTTGCGAGTTCATGACGAATTTCACAATTGCATCACAAATATATGATAATTATATACTCCTATTAATATATTAGTATTGTATCTGGTATATTTTGGGTATTAATATACCATATACAAGTTAGATACAATTGTGATACAGGTATGATACAATTATATTTTATGCATTGATTTATCTAATACGATTATGATACAGTTATCATATAATTATCTTACAAATCTTGAATATTTCTTCATTTTCAATGTTTTCTAGTCTCCCAGCAAAAGAACGATGTAATTGACAATTTTTTAATAATATAAAACTGTTTGCAATGGTGGAAAAAGAAATGATGGAGATTATAGGCGTCAATTAACGGATTTT